GAGAAGAGGCGGCGCAGAGCCCGCCGGGCCGTCTTGGCGATGGAGCGCCATGGCCGTGGGGCCGGGGGCTGCGGGACGGCTGCGCTGCCGGCGGGGCAAGCAGGAGCGCTGCGTGCCAGGGGCTGGGCAGGCAGCGGGCAAGCCCCTGCCGGCTCCCCAGCCCTGCGGGGCTCTTCCTGGGGAGGGGCGGCCTGGGCACAGCCAGCCTCAAGCCATTCCACTTCAATCTCCTCCACGGTTTCGGCAGGCGAGGCACAAACCAGAGACATCTTTGCCTCTTCAGGAAGAGCCATGGGGAGAGGCTCGCTGTGCCCCTCATTGCAGGGATCACCGTCTGCCGCTGGTGCTGTCTCTTCCTCTTCTTCTTCCTGTGTTGGGAGAGACAGCGCGCTCTCTGGCTCACTCTGCATCTCTCCTGGTGCTGCTCTGTCATGGAGCTCTTCTTCATCCCATATTTCCAGTACCTGGTTTAGAAGGGTACTTGATGGCGAGTCCCCAGAGACAGAGCACAGCTGTTCCAACAGGTCAGGATGTGCAATCTCTGTGTTGTTTTCTGCCTCTCCTGTGGAGCCCTTGACGAGAGCATCAGAAGGCATGGAGTTGTCTGCGACAGGGTCCAGCTCGGCCAACAACTGGTCAAGAGACACAAGCTGGGAGAACTTTTGTGTCTCTCCTGCAGCAACTTCCGTCACGCTGGATGCACTGTGCAGGTCCGAGGGGCCTACAGCTGGCTTCAGGGTGGGGCTTGGTGGATCCCTGGAGATGCATGTGGACCTTACGGGGCTTTCTTTGTCTTCTAGGGAGGAGAAGATGTCTCTAAACATCACATCATACACTTTGTCTTCCATCTCCTCCAGCTGCTTACTCATTTTACAGAGACGAAGCATCACAGCCTCGTCATCCTCTGGGCACAGCTGCTTGCGATGCGCACTTTGCTTGGCTGGACGATGAATTGCCTCTGCCCCTTGGCGCCCACTCAACCACTTTGTGGTTCTCTGGGTGGACTCGATGGGCCTGTTCTCACGAAGACACGGGCCCAGGTCTCTGAACACATCACTGCAGGTGCTGCTACCATGCCCTTCCAGAAGCTTGAGGAGCACCTCTGTCTCAGAGTGCCCCAGGTGCTGCCAAGCCGGCTGGCTCCCAGTGCAGATCTGCACGCTGTGTGCGGGTTGCACGGGTGGCAGGCGATGGTCCTGCCTTGCCGCTGACCCATGCCAGAACCCTTCTGTTCTGCTTGCCAGGGAAGGTGTTTCCCAGGCCCCACCAGCAGCCAGAGTTCCCCATGGTGAAGGTGTCATGAGCTCTTGGTAGCCACTGGCCACAGAGCCCACAACATGTGCTGTGCCTCTGGGAGGAGACCCAGAGGCTGCTGCTGCTGGCAGAGGGGGCAGCTTGAGCCTTGCAGAGGCTGCTCTTTGCATTTGAGGGCTGAGCTGGCAAGGAGGTTCCAGTGGCAGTTGAGGGCCATGGAGAGGCGGCAAGTCGGACACAGACAGTCTCTGTGTCTGTGTGACACTGCCGCGTGGCATCTTGATTGTTGAGGTGACCTGAGGTGGTCCCTGTGGCTGGCTGTGGGTCACCTGTGGGAAGCAGGGGTAGGAGTGGGATGGAGGTGGCTGTGTGAGCATGGTATCCCCCACTTGCCAGCAAGCCCAGGCCTGGCCCCAGGGCAGGTGCTGGCCACAGCAGCCAGGCTGGGCTGGGTTCCCAGCTGTGCTCATTGCCTCAGGGTCACTGCTGTGCCTGAGCCATCCCATCATTGGCTCCCTTGCAGAGCGTGGCCTGGTGCCAGGCCTGGCTGTCTGTGCCCCAGGGCTTCCCCCACCTCCCACTGCAGCCTCTCCCTCCATCCCCGGCCCTCACCTTTTGCTGCTTGGATAGCAGTGACTGCCCCTCACGGGGCTGGTCATGGGCATTTGCCTTCTCTTTCTTCCACATTGTGGGAGTGCTCTGACGAACACTGGCCACAATCACCCAGGGGAGCTGCTTCCTCCAGAGAAGCTGCTGCCTCCTCAGAGAGCTGCTCTCCTGGGAGTGGCCACTGCAGGGATTTGTTGCCCCCACAGTCACGACACAAACCCACGTCACAATGGCCTCTGGGCACGATGTCACCACGGGTCACAAAGGCCTGGTGGGCACAGCCGCCCTGTGTTCCAGGGGCCAGGCGGTTTCCATGCAGCCAAGCCTCATCACAAAGGACTTTTTAAGGCCTTTTTCCCTTCTTTGCCTTTGCTTATTCTTCTCCCAGTGACCTGCAGCTCTGTGTTGTGCCACCTTGTGTGTTCCTCCCCTAAACATCCCCAAAGAAGCCAGGTGCCATGCTAAAGTGTTTTACCCACCCAGCCCAACATGTGTCCCTGCCCTGACCCAGCAGAAGGGTCATCAGGCAAGAATCTGTTTGAATTTAATCTGGCCACTACTGTAAAAGCCAATAAAAAGTCTTTCTTAGAAGAGATCAAGAACACAGGCGTGCTGAGGAAAATCTTCCTTCTTTAATTGATGCAAGGGTGAGGGGAAAATGGTCACAAGGGATGAGGAAAAGGCTGAGGTACAGAATGCCTTGTTTGCCTCAGCTTTCAGGAGTCAGATGGGTTATGTGGAGGACAAGCAGTCCCCTGAGCTGGCACACAGGGACGGGGAGCAGACCTGACCCCCTGCAATCCCGGTGTAAGTCATTGGTGACCTGCAGAGCCGCTAAGACCCTGACAAGTCTATGGGGCTGCCCAGAGTCCCCCAGGGGTGCTGAGGGAGCCCATGGAAGAGCTTGCCAAGCAACTCTCCCATCCTTTATTGTCATCATTCCTGGCCAGTCAGGGAGGTCCCAGGTGACTGGAGGTGCCAATGGGACACCCAGGCCCAAGAAGGGCTGCAGGGAGGATGTGAGGAACTGCAGGCCTGTCAGCCTGACCTCGGGGCCTGGCGAGGTTCTGGAGCAGATCATCGTGAGGGGGATCACACGGCCCAGAGAGGACAACTGAGGGATCAGGCCCAGCCAATGTGGGTTTAGGAAAGGCAGGTCTAGTGTGAGCAACCTGATGTCGTTTGGGCTGTGGGTGATGTGTCTTAGGGCTGAGGGAAAAGCTGTGGATGGAGTCTCCCTGGACTTCAGGCAAGCCTTTGATTCTGTATCCCACAGCACAGTCCTGGAAAAGCCAACAGCCCAGGGCTTGGGCAGGGGCACTCCTTGCTGGCTTAGGAACTGGATGGCCATGTCCAGAGAGTGGTGGGGAATGGTGCCGTATCCAGTTGGTGTCTGGTGACGAGCAGTGTCCCCTGTGGCCAGTCCTGTTCAGTGTCTGTCCTGCTGGTGTGGCCAAGGGCATTGAGGGTACCCTCAGTAGTAAATTTGTGATGACAACAAGGTGTGTGGGAGTGTTGAGTTGGTGGAGCGTAGGAATACTCTGCAGGGCGATGTGGCCAGGCTGGATGGATGGTGTGAGGCCATCAGGGTGAGGTTCCAGAAGAGCAAGGTCTGGGTCCTGCCTTTGTATCCCAAGAAGCCTCTGCAGTGCCCCAGGCTGGGGGCAGATTAGATGGAAAGCTGCCAGGCAGGAAGGGCCCTGGGGGTGCTGGCCGACAGTGGCTGAACATGAGCCGCGTGTGCCCAGGTGGGTAAGGGGGCCGGTGGCCTCCTGGCCTTCTGTGTCATCCCTAGTGTGGCCAGCAGGACCAGGGCAGTGATTGTCCCCTCTGTGCCTGGGGAGGCCACACCTCATGTAATTTTTCTAGTTTTTGGCCACTGATGACAAGAAGGACATTGAAGTGCTAAAGCGTGTCTAGGGACAAGCAATGGCACTGGGAAAGGTTCTGGGGCACAAACCTGGGGAATAGCAGCTGAGGGAGCTGTGGTGTCTCAATATGGGGAAAGGATGCTCAGGGGAGACTTTGTTACCCTCTACAACTCCCTGATAGCAAAGTGTGGCCAAGTGGTGGTTGGTCTCTTCTCCCAAGTCACAAGCACAGAATCACAGAATCAGCTAGGTTGGAAAAGATCTTGGAGATCATCAAGTCCATTCTATGAATAGGAGAAGCTGAAATAGCCTCAGTTAGCACTAGGGGAAGCTTATATTGGGTATTAAGAATAGTTTCTCTATGGAATGGTTTGTCAAGCACTGGAAAGGGCTGCCCAGGGAGCTTGTGGAGTCACCATTCCTGGAGGTGTTTAAGGAAAGACTGGATGGGGCACTCAGTGCTCTGGTCTACTTAACAAAGGTTGTGATTGGTCATAGTCTGGACTCAATCTTGGAGGTATTTTCCAGTGTAGTTGATTCTGTGATGATTCTGTGAAAAATGAACCAAACACCAGGTGGGCATTGACTTCTCAGAGTTGCTGATACTTCATACTAATGTTCTGAAGAATTTCCTTTAGGAAGAATCACAGATTAAATCTGTCAAAGAAACTAGAAATCAAATGGCACAAGTGAACTCTTCACTGCAAGTTTATCCATCAGCTGGTGCTTGTGATCTGGCTCCAGCTTTCCCCTCCTGTTCGCAATGGTCCATGAGGTTGATGAGTTTGGATGGGAACTGATTGGTTTGGGAGCTGCCTGTGGCTATTAAATCATAGACTCAGAGGTGACGGGAGACCCTCAGCTCCTCAGCCCTGATGATGTGATGAGAGGTGATGGATTCTGTGTGACAGCCACCACCCATTGTCAGAGCAGAGCCTGGAGCTGGGGACACACACCTGCCCCAGATATCCCCATTTTGCTCCACCTGTGCTCTTTCCTGGGTTACACCTGAACCCTGGCAAGTGTCAGGTGAGTTTAGAATCATCTCTGAATTGCAACACCTGCATTTTTGCCAGGCAATGTTTGGCAGTAGCATTTTTAGAAATATTCATGAAACTCTGGGGTGCAGATGAGTGTCATTTGCCTTTCACAGCTCAGGGACCAGGTGTCCCTCTGCTCACCTTCCCTAAAAACACCACAGGGACATGAGCCACCAATTTCTTACTGAAATGTTTATTAAGATCGAACTTTGGAACAACAGATTGGAACACAATGTCTCGTGGAGTAGAATATTTCTAAACTGATTTTTTTTTCTTTCTATGCATAAATGAAAAAAAATCAAGATTATACAAAAAGAACAGAAAGTGCAGAACACAGTAAAACAGTTCTCATGCAACAATTTTTTTTAACCTTTAAACAGAAAATAAGCTCAACAGTGTAGAAATAAAAATCATACATACATTATGCCATCTACGCACTCAAACATTCATCTGTGACATCACTTTTCTTTATCCCTTTTTCCTCATAAAACAACATTATGTGTTTAACACATGCTTATAAACATTGCTAAACTCAGCAAGAGCTATTATAGTGCCCCAACTTAATAAGTTGATAAAAAAGTAGTTGTCATATGGCCAGTTCACAAAGGAACTAAATATTCTTTTTTCTTTTTTTTTTTTTTTTAAATTTTTTCCCCGCTATGAGATGCCTATATGCAGCTTTCTAGTAATACGAGGCATTTAAAATAAGCTGGTCATTTGGCTACTTAAAGGGCTTAGTGTTCATGTTACATCAGGCAAAACAAATTCACAATGGGAATTGCCAATTTTTTGAGAGAAAAAGTCTGGATTTTGGGGTTATTTACTACAGTTTGGCTGTTACAGAGGACTGAGTAGGTGCACAGTAAATAAGGTGACATTGAGTTTGACTAAATGCTCCCAAATCTTCAACCCAAACTTCCAAATTTAAGAATAAATGTGCCAGAGCAGGTGAAACTGAACCATGCTCATTTTCCTTAAAATTTTAGCAGGTCACAAGGGCTTCAAAAGCCCTTTAATTACAGCAGATGCTCTCTTTTGGTGGGGGATGTATTTTTCCCTCCTGGGCACCCCTCGTTTCTTGGGGCAAGGGAAGCTGAAGTGGAAATTCAGGTGAAGTTGCTTGGGTTGAGGAACCAAATTAAATTGGTTTTCCAGGAGGTGATTTTAATTTAAGTGACAGGAAAACCTGGAACACCTTAATGAGCAAATCAGTGGGCGCAAGTGTCATGAAAAGGAATTGATCCTTTTTGTTGTTTTCTAAGGCAGTTTCTGAACTCTGCTGAGACTCAAATTCAAACCCCAGTTGGTGTTTGAGCTGCTGCAGCTCCTTTGGATGCAACATGACAAAGAGAAAACTTTGGGTAGCTCCACTTTTTCCAAATGACCATTTTGTGATGTGCTTTACAAACGTTCAGCTTTGTCACTTAAGGAAAGAAAACAGCTAAAGGACTCTCTGGAACCATAAAGTTTCTGCAAAGAAAAATAAAATTTGGTATTTTTTCCACACAGTCATCAACAACATTTCTGTGCAACATTTGGTGTCCATTACATTTATTTGGCCTATTCAAAGGAAACGAGGACAAAACAGCTGCAAAGAAAACCAACTTCTCTTTCACGACAGACACTTCAGATGCTGAAGCTGCTACATGTGCTTGGAATATCATGCAGGAGTTCATTTGTTCATTTAAGGATACATATTTATAGCTGAGCTTGTCTCACATCAGACTAGGATGAGGGAAACCTGGAAGAACTCAGTTGAAAACATTGTGGAGTCCAGGGACAGCAACACACAATCCCCAAAGGTATTTTGGCCCAAGCAGTGTGTCTGGAAATGTACAAACACAAAGGTACACACACACACACACACACACACACACACACACACACACATCCCTAAAAACCCCCAAATCTCAGCACCTACCTCCTGAGCTTCTCCTGCCCAGATGTCCCAGCTCTCCCAGGAACAAAGTGTGACTTTCTCTACCTTTGCTCATAGATGTGACCTCAACCTCCATGGTTGTGAGACCTGGCAGCCAGCAAAATCCTGCTTTTTATGGTGGATTCTGGAGGAAGCCAAGCTCACCCTGGACCAAGGGCAGGGGACATGTTCCTAATGATGGAACTGAGGTTTGAACGAGGTACCTTGCTAAATGCACCGTGGTTGCTGCTCTCATTGCAAGTGCTGGGGGGTTCAGTTCTTGCTGGGAGAGGGATAAGAAAGACTCGGTCCTTGTCTATGAGGAAAACCTCACGCAGCCTGTTCCATCCTGGTGTCTGAGTGCCAGCATTGGCAACAGCAAAAAAATCAGGAGGGTACATTTGCAGCCACCTCCTTTCCAGACTGATGTGCTGGGAATATTTCAGAGCCTAGAAAAAGGCTCCAGATGAAAGAGGAAAAGGACATTGTGTGTTTCAAGAGCACAAACCTCTCTTGGATTTACTGGCACCCTCCCTCATGATTATGAACAACCCCTATCTTTCCACAACTGTTCACAGCCAGCAAACTGCCAGATTTGTGTTATTAAAAGGCTATTTAGGCAATAAATCTCTATGAAAGTCATCAAATCAGCAGGAAGAGAAACATTCTTAAGAAATTATTGCTTCTGGAATCTGAAATTGCTGTCCACAAACAGCACAGATATCACTGGACTCTTGGAATAACCCAACAGGGCCAAATCCACACT